CGATGAAACACACAACTTTCCTCTAGTTCTTTAATGCTTCCTCCCCACCACTATCATGATCCCAATTCTACCTCACAAATCTGGCTGGACCAGAGGATGTACACTGGTAGAGAGAAGAGCTGGAAACACAGGGAATCCAGGACAGATAAACCCCTCAGGACAAATAATGAGAGTACAGAGACCAGGAGGGGAAGGGAAAGGTGGAGTAGAAAGGGGGAACCGATCACAATGATCTATATATAACCCCTTCCCTGGGGGATGAACAACAGAAAAGTGGGTAAAAGGAGACTTCAGACAGTGTAAGACATGACAAAATAATAACAATTTGTAAATTATCAAGGGTCCGTGGGGGAGGGATTCAGGGAGGGCTGGGAAAAAATGAGGAGGTGTAACTAAGGCCTCAAGTAGAAAGAAAATGTTTTGAGAATGATAATGGCAACAAATGTATAAATGGTGCTTGACACAATGGATGGATGGATGGATTGTGATAAGAGTTGTACAAGCCCCCAATAAAATGATTTTTAAAAAAAGAAAAAATTGATTGAATGTTTACTCCATGCCAATAATTGTTCTGTTGCTCAAGATATCATTTATCATAGATATCTAAAGATATGGAAGAACTGAAGACAGGACAACTATAAGGAAGTTAAAGAAGAGATCGAAGGTCAAGCTGTCTCTTGAATGCAACAGAGACTGTTCAAGGGGAAGTGGAGTAGAGACAGCCAGTCACTATCAAAGACGTGTTGATGTTTCAAAGTCAGTCACTATCAAAGATGTGTTAATGTTTCAGTGGCTGATGGCAGGCAGTATATGTTCATGTTCACAAGGTTTATCCTGTATTAGAGATTAAATTCTGAGCACTCCATTTGCAGAGTCCCAAAAATCCAACTGAATCAAGAATATAGACAACCTTGCCCTCATGCAGTGTATTAGAAAGCGATTACCTGATGCCAGGGGCTTAAGTGGAGAGCAAATGTTTTGAGAATGATGAGAGCAATGAATGTATAAATGTGCTTTACACAATTGATGTATGTATGGATTGTGATAAGAGTTGTATGATCCCCTGACAAAATGATTAAAAAAAAGAAAGCAGATTACCTCCACCTTTCTCCAACTAGCCCAAGGAGGGGCAGTCTCTTTTAAGGTCTTGCCTGGGTATTTCTTTGATGAATGGTATTGAATTGCTTAGTCATAAGTCATACCCTGACTGCCCTGGGTGGGAAAGCCCTAGACCAATCTTGTAAATTCTTCTAACATAAAGCATGTATTCTAAGTATGGCTCTGTTCCTACTTCTGTAGTCCCACCTATTACTGTCATGTATTGTATTTGCCACCAATCATGAACTTGTGAGTTATCTTTGTTAACTAGGATCCTGACTGTGAATCCTTGGATACTATTATGAGACCTTGTGCTAATGGCCTCCTTTATCATCCAGATGTCTGTGGTCTGTGTCCTGTGTCTTTGTATTGTCTTTTTCCCATTTAAAACTTCACAAATGTTCTCTATAAATTGTCTTGGAGATTGGGTACTCTTTTGTACCCTAAAATGATCTCGATATAGTCAAAATGGTCTAAATGGTCAAGGAGCTCAGGTGCTGAGCAGAAAACTTAGTGTTCAACTCCACTCAGGCTCTTGGAAAACAAGGTCTGGCAATCTACTTCTGAAAAATCGACCACTGAAAACCTGCTCTGGCCCACATGGGGGTCAACCTAAGTCAGACCAAACTACAGAATAACTGTTATCGCAACATAATTGACAGGGGACAGGATAAGGATTTCTGCTTGCTAACAGAAGAATCCTTCTGCTTGCTAAGAATGAACACTCTGCCTGCTAAGACAATGAACAATATGAGGCAAAAAGTCTGCCAAATGTCTCAACCTTGAGGTCAGGCTGGGTGGACAACTCCACCCCAGAAACTTCACTTAATGCCATCAGTTTATGGGAGTAGAATGCCCAGTCTTTGTCCCGCTGAGCTGCTGGTGGTTTCGAACTGTTCAACTGCCGAACATGCAGATGGCAGCACAACACGTAACCACACCACTAGGGCTCCCTAAGAAAGACAAATATCCCTGGAGTCGCCAAAGCCTAAGGGGCAGAGAGAGCAATGAAAATGAGCTAATGGCACCACACACCTAGACCCCAAAGCCTGCCAGATTTAAAACGGGACACCATTGACGGGGGTGGTGGTGGTGGTGGTGGTGTCTTGATTAAAAATTTGGTCTCTATGGACCAAATAGACCGTTCCCTAGCTTGTCGTGCACTTTCCAAAAATCGGGGCTGTCCCGCCAAAAGCGGGACGTCTGGTCACCCCATCGGCGCCGCTGCCGGTCCCCAAAAAAAGTGGCCCTTAGATGTTACGGGAGGCGGAAATGTAGATTAAATTCGGACTTATAGGGAGGAGATCAAACAAAACCAATAAACCGGTAAATTAAATATACTACAACCCACAGCTAACAGCGGAAGATCGTGGTACACCTTCCGGGTCCGCCTAGACGCGGTGGGAGTGCGCCGCCTACGGGTCCCGCAGCGCTCATCCTGCGGTTCCGCCCGGACCCGCCCCCTGGCAGCCCCCAGGCTCGCGAGAATACGAAGTCTCCGGAAGGACTCTGCGGAACGGAACTTCCTCCTGGTCCGATTCCTAGACGGAGCATTTTAAGTCACCGGAAGCAAGGACAGGGCGAAACGGAGGCACCCTTAACGAGACTACGCCTAGAGAGCGGAAGTCTTTGTTCTTACCTCGCGCAAAGAGCATCCTGGGAGCCGGAAGCAACCGGAGCACAGAGCCGGGGAACTTGGCGTGCGAGGTGAGCTCCCTGCCTGTTGCTGAAGCGCGTGGTGCGTGCGCCCAGGCGAGAGGTGGCCGAAAACCCGGCTTCCGTTGTGGTTCCTGATACCGCGTGTGAAATATGGTTGGGCGATCCCGGCGGCGCGGTGCGGCCAAGTGGGCAACTGTGCGAGCCAATTCAGGCCGCGACCCTGCGGGCGAAAAGGAAGACGACTCCGAATTGCCACCATCGCCTGGGGACTCCAGCTACTACCAAGATCAGGTAGATGATTTCCATGAGGCACGATCCCGGGCCGCTTTGACTAAGGGCTGGCATGAAATAGATAATGGAGACGAGGAGGAGGATGGTGATGAAGAGGAGGAGGTGCTTGGCCTAGATGGTGACGATGACGATGATGGGGAAAGTGTGGGGGAGGAAGATGGCGATGATGATGATAGCTCCATGCAGAGTGAGACTGAGGCATCTGTGGACCCCAGTTTGTCGTGGGGTCAGAGGAAAAAACTTTACTATGACACGGACTATGGCCCCAAGTCCCGAGGCCGGAAGAGTCAACAAGACTTAGAGGAGGAAGAAAGAGAGGAGGAGGAGGAGGCACAGCTCATCCAGGAACGACTAACCCAAGCCCTGCAAGAAGATGATTTTGGAGTCACCTGGGTAGAGGCCTTTGCAAAACCAGTGCCCCAGGTGAATGAGGTCGGTACACGGGTGGTGAAGGACCTGACCAAAGTTTCAGTGAAAGAGAAGCTGAAGATGTTGCGGAAAGAAGCACCAGAGCTCTTAGAGTTGATAGAAGACTTGAAAGTCAGGTTGGCAGAGATGAAATATGAACTGGAGCCATTGCTACAGATGGTGGAGCAAAGGCTTATTCCATCCAGAAAGGGAAGCCAGTATCTGAGAACCAAGTACAACCTCTACTTGAACTACTGCTCTAATATTAGTTTTTATTTGATCCTGAAAGCTAGGAGGGCACCTGTGCATGACCATCCTGTCATAGAAAGGCTTGCTACCTACAGAAACTTGATCAACAAACTGTCTGGTGTCGACCAGAGGCTATCTTCCGAAATCCGTCATCTACTCAAACTCAAAGATGGGACTGGAAAGAAGGAACTGCGTCTTAAAATAAAATCCATGACGGCTAAGCCAAAGTCTGCTCCAAAGGCTTTAGCTGCTGCGTCTGGTGCTACAGATATTTCCAGTGATTCTGATGTTGATGAAACTGCACTGAAGTACCATAAAGAAATGGAAGACAGGGAGAAGTTGAAGAGAAAGAAAGAAGAAAGCACTGCAGAGCAGGCTCTTGAAGATCCAAAGGCAAAGAGAGCCATTACCTATCAGATTGCTAAGAATAGAGGACTTACACCTAGGAGAAAGAAGATTGATCGCAATCCCAGAGTGAAACACCGAGAAAAGTTCAGAAGGGCCAAAATTCGCAGAAGAGGCCAGGTTCGTGAAGTTCGTAGAGAAGAGCAACGTTACAGTGGTGAATTATCTGGCATCCGAGCGGGAGTTAAAAAGAGCATTAAGCTTAAATAAAGTATTTTGCTTACTCTTTTTGACACTAATTTTGAGTCCGTTGTGGTATTTTAACTGCTAAGGCATTTGCATTGTTACATAATACTTAAATTTGAAATTTTCTTGTGTGGGAAACTTGGTTGTGTTATTGTTCAATTTGTTCATCCTAATATTAACTGTGGAAGCAATATGAGGCACTTGGAAAGAGTGTTTTGAAAAGTAATATACTACCAAATATAAGGGTCATTAGAAATATTGTGGGGAAATGAAAGATTTCCACGAACTTTTGGAAGCCACCACAGAATAGCTGTAGAGCAATTGGTGGTGCTGTCGGTTAGACATTGGGTTGCTTTATAACTGTCATTTTGCTACGTTATGAATAGGGAAACCCCTGTCAAAGGGTCGTTCAGCCGCCACCCCCCCCAAGGGGTCACGACCCACAGGTTGAGAACCACTGTTATATAGGGTAGTTATGAATCAAAATCAACTCAATGGCAGTGGGTTTGGTTTGCCTTTAACCTACAAAAACAGCACCGCTGATTGTAGAGCAGTGGTCAATACTCATAAACCAAAGAAAATGTACCATTTTAATCATGTTATTCAGAAGATATAAAGTAATTGTGACATGTATTTCACTTGCCTACAGGGATACTTGTAAATAAAGGGGTTTAACATGGATTATTTATCACCTGTGTGGTACAACTTTAAGATTAAAGGGAACATTGGTTAAAAGCGTCAACAGGCAGGAAAATGCCTGAACTGTATCAATTTTGTGCATTTCCTAGTAGTTCATAATGAAAAAATTGCATTTTCTTTTCTGTATAGCAGGGTTGGGGAATCTTGGATATAACATCATTCCTGGGACATAACATAATTATCAACTAAAATTAACTCACCAGTGGGTTATGTGATACGCTGCTAATAGCAAGGTCTGCAGTTGGAAGCCAGCAGCCACTTTGTGGGGGGAACTGAGACTTTCTACTGTAAAGAATGGCAGTGTCGGGAACCCAGGGGGGCAGGTCTCTGTCTTACAGAGTCAACTCCATGGCAGGAAATGAATGAGGATGTGATGGCTGCAACTACTTTTCTTTGGTGGGGCACGTGATGGGAGCTGGCTTTGATGATACCCAGGCCTTACATGCCTGTGTCCCAGCCAGTCATCCTTGTACAGCTTCGCTATGACTCAATAGGGCAGTTTGGTTTGGGGTTGGTATTTGTGCCCATGCTCCATCTGCTGAAAATATGGCATGATTCTGAGGAAATGACAGCTTCCCAGTAATGACGTTACATTGTTCCTTAGTTTCTCTGCTATTGCTACAGAGGGAGGATAATGAGAGGGTGAATTTAAAAGTGACTTTTAAATTCTTTAAATACTTAAGGTGCCTAGTAGGCCAAGGATGAAAATGGGAGGCCTGGTTAAAGGAGGTCCAACTGTTGTTTATCCACTGAATAAACAAGTGTTACTGTTGTAGGTGTTGAGATGATCAGTGGTTAATATTTATTACGTATCTCCCAGGTATTTTTGTCTTACTTCATTTATTCCTGGCAATAACAGATGATTACTGTCCTGTTTCACAGAGAATGAAAGTAGTTGGAAAGTAATTAACTAGTAAAATGCCCTGCCTTGAGAGGCAATATAAGGTAGTGAGTAGGATCTTAGCCTCTGAAGCCAGACTGAGTTAAATGCCAGTTCCATTAACCATGTGTCTTTGTACAACTTAATCTCTCTGTGCCCCAGTTTCCTCACGAGATAATATGATTGTTGTGACCATTTTAAAGGGCAATCCATATACAGTGAAACCGGTAAGTCAGAACTCTGTTTTCCCAAGTCTCAAAACCCCATCTTTGACAGAGTGTAGTCTTAGCACTTTTCTATCACTATTAATGGAAAATACTTTCATTTTCCTTCTTTGACAGGTTTCTGTTTTACACAGGTCTTACTCTATATTTAGGGAAGCCCTGCCATGTAGTAATTGTTATTTGCTATTAACCTATTTATTAATTGGTTCACTCTGCTTAATTAATGACTTTTCTCCTAGTTTAAACTACAGAATCTAAGGATCAATTGAAAAATCTAAGATTTATGTTTTTATCTTACATCCAAAAACTGATTCAGCCAGCCTTGTATGGGAAAATTTATGTTTTTATTAGGCACTCCACGTGGTCTACAGAACACACTTTGGGAAACTCTCCTGGGCCCACTGATTTTTAAGTTTCTGTTAGCCAGTGGTGCAGACGTTTAGGCATTAAGCTGCTAACCATAAGGTTGGGGGTTCAAACCCACAAAAAAGATTTGCAATCTTAGAAACCCTATAGGGTGTTACTTACTGTAAGTCAGAATCAACTGGAAGGCAGTGAGCTTGTTTGTTTTTTTTTCCCTTATCTGACAGTATACATGCTGAGTGAAGTTAATTGCAAAACTAAAATATGGCCCTATCAGACTATAAAACCTCAAGTAGGTGCCTAACCTGCATGGGACTAGTTAGTCCCATCAAATCTATTGAAAGCAATGGACTCTTCCTCCAGAACAATAACATTGGCCTACAGACAACATTAAGAGGACATCTGATTGCTCAGTGGTTACACATTGGATTGCCAACTGGAAGGTCTGAAGTTCGAAACCACCAACCAACCACTCCTCAGGAGAAAGGAACTTTCTACTCCCAGAAAGAGTACAGTCTTAGAAACTCACAGTGCTACCCTGTCCGACACAGTCACCATGATAGGTGTCAATTCAATGGCAGTGAGTATAGACAACATTTTACACCTGACTTCAGTGGTTTCCTGGAGCTTTTTACTCCTACGGGAGGTTCTACATGGGTGGTGTTTACATAATACAAGATTATTTTACCATGGGTGAAGGAAGAGGGGATTACATCGCCCCACAAAAACTAAAGCTGATAGGGGGAAACTGGTGCCATTTTTAGAATCAGCAGATCAAATATTCCCAGAAACAAATCTTAACATTTGAGGCACCAAAATGTGTGTAGACTAGAACAAGAATTTTATCCCAGTTTTAAATGATTATTGAAAATGCATATATTTTTATCACATCGTGTTAAACATGTATAAAAGGAGAAATAGAGGCAAAATAAGGTTATTCCTAAAACGGATTCATAAGCAGTTCAGCTTTTCTAAGTTATCTTTATATTCAGGTCCCTTGATGTGCACAGAATTCCAACTGAGCCTCTAAAATGGGTAGAAATATCCTATGCAAAACAAAACAGATGAGTCTGTCTGCTCCCATAAAGATTTCATTCTTGGAAATCTTAAGGGATAATTCTGTTATTTGGGGCCGGTAGTTCCAGGTCAGAATGGGCTAAAAGGCATGGGGTGGAGAGAATTACCTCATAGGGCTCCCAAGTCAAAATTTTCATGACACCAACTGCCACATATATTTCCAGCAGAGTGGCTGGTAGATTTGACCCTCTCTCCTTTTGGTTAGCAGCCAAGCACTTTAACCACTGTGCCATGAGGGATCCATTGAGAACTATAAGAGGAATAAACCTATTGTATACTGGGAAAAAAAAAGCCTAAAGACATCAGTTTTGAGAACAAAATTAGAACATGTAAGCTTTCATTATTTAACAAAGGGTTATTAAGCACTGACACAGACTCTTCACTAGGAAGGTAATTATCAGAATATATTATCAAAGTATATTCTGTACTCATGAAGTAGAAGAAATAAGAAACAGAATGGTTAACTGCTGAAGCAGTTAGAATGCAATAGGACTTTAGGAAGGCACTTACCATATATACTCGTGTATAAGCCGAGTTTTTCATCACATTTTTAATGCAGTTTTTGTAGTAAAATTAGGTGCCTCCGCTGATATTCGGGTCGGCTTATATTTCAGTTTATACGGTAGTTCTCCCTGCCCTTGTGGCACAGTGGTTAGCAATTCAAACAGCTTCAATTAAGATTACCACCTATGGAAACCCCTTGGAGTAGTTTCTACACTGTAACACATCATGAGTTAAAACTCATTCAACGGCATTGGGTTTGGTTCCCGTCCTCCACCCCATTAGTAGGGAAGGCAACCACTGAACCCCACCGGCACAGCTCTGTTCTGTCCAGAGACTCACCAGGAGCATGTACTCAATGGCAGTGAATTTTGGTTTGAGGGAGGGCAGAGATCGCTTAAAAAGAGTGGTTTAACGCAGGCCTGTCTGGATAGGACAGGCTGGATGAACAATCTGGAGGAGAAAACAACGGGACTGACAGTTCCAGGGGGACATGGGAGAGGGGTAGGAGGGGGGAAGGGAAGAAGAGGGGATAACAAACCCAGGAACAAGGGAACAACAAGC